TGGGGCGTGAGTGATTGGGCAGCTTTATAAAGGTGTGTATGAGGAAAAACTGCGGTATGACGAACACATTCCGCTGATGAATAGAATCTCACCATTTATGGGCGGGGTGCCTGATACTGACCATTGCTTATACACTCTATGGCCGTTTGATTTAGGAGAGGGTCAGTTTTACAAATACATGAAACGGCCGGTGTGTGCAACGGTTCGTCGCGCAATAACAAAAATCCGACGGTGAGTACACAGGCCTCACAATTGTCCCGCCCCTCGTGTGAGACAAGACAATCGCCGCCTGGATCGTTGCCGACGCCTCGCGGTAAACGCGGTGTAAACGCCCGATTCTCTCCAAACTCAGACGTTACTAGACGCACATCCTCCCCGTCGTCGGTATAGTAACCGATCTTCTAATTGATCTTAGACTACCCAAACCTGTATTTGTACTCACTTCATATTGGCCTGGGCTCTTCTCTCTCCTGGCGTCGTGGACGTCGAGACGGGCGACACTCCCTGGCCACTCGCCTCGTTATTTGTGTGGAAATCTGCAGTTGACTTGTGTAAAATCGATACCTGACTAGCATATATATCATGTAACTTAATTAAGGTTAAACTCTTAGTAATTAGTTGAATCATGTACCAGTGGGGTTTTTTTTTTTTTCTTGTTTATTTAATTATTTTTAGTATGATTATAACTATGTACTTATAATAAGCTTATGGACTTATATAAGCTTATAAGCTTATAAAGCTGACATCTAGCAAGGGTAGTGATTATCGTTTCCGTGTAAAAGAAAACTTTTACATTTCCCGTTTGTACTCTTCGTCCAGAATCACTATACTGTACCCTTTACATCAGGATAATACTAGCTATAAGAAAACCAACGAACCTACTCTATCGATCCCTAATACTACTCTGCCATGGTAGAACCAATCTGTTCCCCGGTTTCATAAATACATGTCACCTACGTCCTGTGAATTTCTGTGGGTATGAACGGACCGGTTTTTTCCTCCCTCTCCACTGTCTCGGACACTGGTACCGGTTTCTCGGGTGTACCGAAGGAGATTACCTTAGAAGGCGTGGTAGGAGTCTCGGAAGACCAAGGAGCTGAAGTGGACGTGTTATTGTCAATATTACTCTTTACATGCCTTCGTGTACTCTCCGTTCTCTCTTTTTTTGGGAAACACAGTCCAGACTTTAGCAGTTAGGTTTGGCAAAGGAGAGCGAAACAAAATCTGCATTCTTGTCCACTTTTCTTCTAAACGGTCCGTTAGCAAGAGATTAGCCGGGAATTTATTAGAAAAAGTAGCACTCTTCACGTCTCTTATCGCTTTTTGATTGTAAACGTTCTATCAGGAAAGTTTCAAATAAAATAGGAACTTCATTGTTCATAATTGCTAAAAGTCCTAAGCAAAATTACTTTATCCTTTTTTCGTATAATTACTAATTTACAAAATAAAACATAGTAGATTAAATATAGCAGTTTACGTTAAGTCATTTCATTCCCCGTATAAAATACCAGAACTGGACTGGTTCGGTCTTAACCCCCCACGTTTAATTTAGATTTGAAAAAAAAAAAATGTTAGATGATTCAGGCAAACCGTGTTCCTCCGTTTTTTTTGCTGGGGACACCCTTTAAGTTTTTTGGGTTTTTTCACCCTTTAGTACCCCACCAGCGAAAAAACCCGAAGGCATCCGTCAGGGGGGAAGATCCGTTTACTCCAACTTGGGTGGGGGGTGATTGACACCGGGCCCGACCTACCGGGGTGTCATACCCAGTCGCCCAAGGGGGAGCAGGTGGACCGTGGTTTGTGGAGGGGCCAAAGGATTAAGGGGGAGGGTTGGGACCGTGACGACTTCGGGTCGGGCCCCCGCAGAGGGACCCCCTCGCTCTACCGGGGACCTTTTTCTTGCGCCCGGCATTTCGGCTTTTACCGAAAACCTTTGGCTCCTACGCGGTAGGTCCCTTTCCCTTCCCCGGGGATCCCCCAAAAAAATTGGATCCGAACCACTCTTATTTTATTCCCTTTTCCCTCCTTTTCAAAATTCTTTTGAGGTTTTTTTTGTAAAAAAAAGGTTCATAATTGTCACCTTGTAGTACCCCCATTACCCTTTTTACATGAAGGTGCTTCCTTGTCTCCCTTTTTAGGTAAAGTTCATATGGTTCGGATGTTGGATATGGATGGACAAAATTAACAATGGAACTGGAGTTGTGGATTGGTGGAATATGGGGGGGTTCCTAACAATACGGGGAGATCGGAGGGTGACGAAAGATAAACCTTGGTTTCCGGGGGACAGGGGTTCCTTGGGCGAGGCTCGGGGGTGAAAACATTACCAACAAAAGGGGTCCAATTTTTCGGTCCCGGGAACATATAAAACCAAAAAAAGGGAGGCTCCTTACATAACGGAACTAAATTTTTTTACCTAAACCCTTACTCTTTTTAACGCACCCTTGGTATGGAAAATTTACATCCGCAAGGGGTCGGGGTGTTGTCAATAACAACTTTAAATATTATTGTAGGATCAACACTGCCTACTTTTTACCTACTATATTCAAGGAAGGGGAGAAACACGAGGCATTTCGTGATACACTCTGGGAATGTTCCATTTATATTTAGTTTCCCTTAAGAGTTGGAAATGATTCGGGTTGAAGAATTCCTGGTGGGAAAGGGCTTCCTCTGTGTGTTCTTTGTTTGTTTTTGTTCACGGGTTTAACTCTTTTTTTATTTCGACCCAAACCCAATTATACACACCTCCGGTGACAGTTGGATTGGTTTTTTTAAGTATTTACAGTATAGGTGAAAAATTCCCCAGGGGGTATTAAAATAAACTGTTCTGAGGTCCCTATAATGATTGTTTTAATGAAAAAGTTCAAATCTCTCGATAATTAAAACCACAGTGACGTAAATTTGGTAATTACACATAATACGGTACCCCCACTTTTATTGAATAACTTTACCCGGGTAAAAACCACCTTACCCAGTTTGCGGTTAAAAATAATTTGTAACCAAAATAAAAAAATTGTAAATCTTAAATATTGTCAATTTGATCTTTAATTCAACTTTAATCGTATCAAACTATGTCAAATTAAACTTATATATACATACTATACCTTGCTATACCCGCAACCTCCGTTCCAGCTGAGAGGATCTTCTGACTACAGCTGGGCTGATTGTGAATTGCATATGAAAGCTGTAGGCCTATAGCTGTCAAACTGTGATCACCAGTTCAATAAATGTGACAAATTCGACTTGGTTTCTACACTTATTTGAACATGTATGTATTTATTTCCAAAAATTATTGAAAAGAAATTTGGGAAAAAAAAAAAGTGAAAAATGTGTGAAAAAAATGTTTTACCCAATTTTTTTTTTATAGGATATGTACATTTCGGTTAACCGGTTAACCATTTTTTGGGGGGTTGGATATTCGAATATACATTTGCTTTCAAATTCCCATCCCTACTTTGCATACAAACATACACACACAAGAGCAAAATTATACTGCTTGACTTCCTTATTTCAAATCACAGTGACTGTATCTTGGCTCTAGCAGGAAGTGAAGTTTATGGTTCTGCTGTTATGAAGCCTTCAGAAAGAGCATATTGTTTCTCTTGAGATTAGATTGATGGCCAGCTGCCATGTGACAAATCTCATCTATATGTGACTTGTTGAAGTAGAACCAGGATATAACTGCTATTATTAGCCTGCTGTTTTTATGAGGTGTGCCGCTTTGATAAAATAATGATTTGTATACAAACAACGAAGTTATATTAAAAGATAAAATAAAAAATAATTAAAGTATTTCTTTATTTACAATTTAACAGTAGTGTTTTGGCATAAATGAGACATCAATGCTGAATTGCACAGTTTATAATGTTTTGCTGATTATTGTGAAGAAGTCTTAGTTCCAATCATCTGACGCTCTGAGGGAGAAGTCAACAGTTTAATGTCCACAGCCCGGAAGGACCACCATCTTGGTGGAATGAGTCTTCCACTGAAGCGACTCCTGTGTCTGATCAGTATGCCAAATATACAGTGTCTGTAGTTACAGTGTCTTCCTCTGTCTGTTTAGACTATGAGGCTCTGCTGCACCCGCTGCAGAGCGGTGAGACGTCATCCGGAGACTCCTTCTACGTACGGGTCAATATGTCTCTCCCTGCGGGCCCTAACGGAGCTCTGGCCGTGTCCTGCAATGACATCCTTCATGTGACCAACACAAGACCCGCCGGCACTGAGGACTCATGGAGAGCCAGCCTGGTTCACCCCTGCCAGCTGCTGGACCTTCAGAGCGGAAATGTACCCCACTATTACAGGTCAGTAAAATGATGTGGAATGTGGAAATGTTTGGTCGATTCTTTTCAAACATACAGTAGATGGGGTTAGAATCATCAGAATATGTCAAAGTTACAAGTAAATCTCCACTCACTCTGCTTTAAACTGCACATTCTAATGATTTTCTGATTGCGCAGGGCACAGCAACTTCTGATTCGTGCGATTGAAGACATGAGCTTTCAAACAAAGAAGTCCCCAAAGGTAAAAGTATTCCAAAATACTGCCACACCTTGTTCTAATACAGAATATCACTGTAATAACTCATGGGACAACCACTTCTCACTCCCAGCATCTTAGTCAGTGGCCCTATGCATCACTATAACCCTCAACGTAATCCTCTGACGTCAGTGTTGTTCCTGCAGGGCTGCCTGTATGGGATGTAGTATTTATGACCAGAGTTCAAGTGGAAGTCAGGTCATGCAGGCTGAGAAAGTCTGCATAGAGACGAGGTTGGGGTGGATGGAAGGGGACAAACAAACAGAGGATTTTCACAGAAGAATGAAGTTGATGTCCTAAATGAAACCAAAACCTAGCAACTTAATTGCAGTGACATAAAGTAGCTACCTAGTATACTGTACTTATTTCTGTAAAATAGTACATGTTGAGTTGCTATGTTAACAAAGGCACTTGTAACACTCAAACATGATCCTTTTCTAATCCTAACCAAGTAGTTACATAACTCATTGAACTCAAGTGACTTACATAATGTTATTTACATGTTGAAGTATGGGCTGGGAGAGCAAAAAAACATATATCAGGATATTTCTGATCCAATATTTCAATATTCTTTTGGGACGATAATGTACCGTTGACTGTGGGTGCTTGTATAAATGTTTTTTGTTTTTTTTGATGAAAAATAATCACTAATGACTCTGACCTAGTGGTGCATAATAGAACAGATAAAATAGTGTTGTAAGTTTAGAAAATAACTTTCAAAACCAGGAAAAGATAAGATGAATGATATTACGTGAACTAATATGTAAGACGATATCTATTCTAATATTACAGGTGCATCTCAATAAATTAGAATATAGTGGAAAAGTTCATTCATTTCAGTCCTTCTATTTAGAAAATGAAACTCATATTATTTAGATTCATTACACACAAATTAAATTATGTCAAGCCTTTATTTGTTTGATCTTGATGATTGCGGCTTACAGCTAATGAAAGCCTCCATGCCACACACTGCAAAAGGAGACCCAACCAAGTAGTGCATGCACATGACACATACTTTTCAGAAGGTCGACAATTCTGTATTAAACCTTCTTTTTATTAGTCTTGTGTAATATTCAAATGTTGAGATTTCATTAGCTGTATGCTGTAATCATCAAGATTAAAACAAATAAACACATGAAATACTGAAATAATTAACTTTTCCACAATATTCTAATTTATTAAGATGCAACTGTATACCAATATACTGCCCCACCCTAATGTAATTCTATTTGACTACCCTGCACATACATCGCTCTCAATGGGTACCAATTGCAGTAAAAAGTGACGCCATGTGACTAGTCGGGAGTGAAAAGTTGAATATTTTCCTCTGCTGCATCAGGCTGGGCGTGTGGTGGCCCAGAGTAAGCAGAAGGCGGTGAGGATTGTGGGCACCATGCGCCAGGGCAGGAACCCCCTGTGGGTCAGTGTGGAGGAGGAGCAGCCCAAGAGCACCGAGTCAGGTACAGCCTGCAGCAGCACACACTAACTGTGTTCAACTTAATATATCTGATCTAACCTAATACAGTTACATTTGTTGACATGATTCAAGTCAACGTTTCAGTTTTTTCAGTGCAGTCACAAAAGGATATTATCTTTCTTTAAAGCTTCTGCTGTTTGATATTCATTGAATTTCTTTTTTTGTAGGCGATACATCTGCACCCAAAAGCTGTCTGACCCTCATGCCCTACAGCCTGGTCACCCCCCACTTCCCCCCTGTCTGCAGGCCCGTCCTGCTGCTGCCCTCCATCCTGGGACACATCCTGGACAAGAAGCTGACAGACTGGCAGGGCTTCCAGCTCTGTGAGCCTGGTAAGAAGTACTCTGCTATTAGGGAACCATGTCATGTTATATTTCATATCTGTGTCCGCTGGAGCGAGACGCATCTTTAGATGGAGAGGAGGGAGGCAGTTCCGTTTGCTGCTCTGTTTGACTTGACAGGTCATGTTTGTCTGTTGCTGCTAACCAGGAAGGAAATACACTTTGTGAACCCATAGTCAGGGCCGCCCCTCCCTACAGGCCAATCACGCAGGCTGCATGGGGCCCCGCCTTGTGCAGGGGGCCCCGCCCAGAGGGCCTCAGCTGCTGCTCGCAGTTCTCCGATCAGTTCTCCGCTCAGTTCTCCGCTCAGTTCTCCGCGCACCCCCCGCGAGAGTGAGAGTGAGAGGTGACTAGGGGAGCACGTCTGTAACCCAACACCGTTGCAATGAATCGACATCTGACCAATCACGGCTTTGATACGGCCACTAGTGCAGGTGAAGAGATGTCGGTGAAAAGACAGTTTCAGTCCGGCGCAAAAAAGAAAACATGAAGAAACTAGAGCATCACTGGAAGGTGGGTTATTGTATGAGTCAAATGTACAACTTGCCAATGTTGTATAAGTCAAATTGCCAATTGCCATATTAAAACATCAGCTGCAATTCATGACATGAAGAAGGCAGTCTCTGCATAGCATATAGGCTAATGGAGATGCAGTTATTTCCAGCATTCTTTATTTACCATTCATTCAAGTATTTATCTGCTAATTTACAGGAGGAAGAGTGATAACCTGTCTGTCTAGTTGGCTTACATAACAGTTAAAGTTTACAGCCTAAAAAACATGGAGCATTTTTTTCCCTTTTATTCATTTGTATGTCAATTTGCACATTTCATGGTGATGCTCAGCCTCTCCCCTTAACTCCTAACAGTCATCATCATGTCAACCACAACACAGAGAAATACTGATAGAAATGTGTGTGTAGTTGTTGATACATTGCTGACAGAGGGAACTACATTTGAATACAGATTTAAGAAATATCAGTTTTTGAGCATGTCATAAGCATGTTTTGTCTTGACTATATTACAACTATATTATAATAAAATAATATCGTATTTATATTATTGAATTGATTATGATTATTATTATTAGTAGAAGTAGTTTATTTGCATTAATTATATTTTAATCTGAAGAACCTGCTTCATCCACGCTGGCGTTGCTGTTATCACTGGCTCAGTGTCATTTCATTTGACCAAATGTCTTTATGTAAAGACATTTGGTCAAATGAAATGACACTGAGCCAGTGATAACAGCAACGCCAGCGTGGATGAAGCAGGTTCTTCAGATTAAAATATAATTAATGCAAATNGATGTGTTTCAGTTTGTAAAGATGATACGAACATTTTACATAATAGGAATCTAAATGTGTGCCGTAGATAACCGTGGCAGACAGGCAGGACCCTCTCCCTAGGGAGGAGACAACGAGAGGGACTCCAAGAAGGGGAAAAAAGGGAAAGTTGACACCCAAAAGAGGCCTCAAAAGCGAAATGCGCTACACTTCCCAGTATTCCTATCTCCCCACAGCAAAAAAGAGTATGACTATAAGACTTGTAGACACCGATTACATAATCCGACATTTCACAGACGACTCTCGCGACATCCGGTATAAAATAACTCATAGCTATGTCGTGCAACCGTGCCTGGTTTAGCAAATATTATACTACGATATATTGTATTATTGAACTAAACTAGAACCTAAACTCAAGTTTGACCCACCGCCCTCCCCCCAGCGCCCTCCTGACCAGACCTAGTTGTCGGAGTCCTTTCCGGTATCAGTAATCCCCAAGAGCGCCTCGCCTGCCGGGCCCTTTCCGTCTCAGGTACACCCCTCAAGCCCGCCTTGCCCGGCCCCTTTTCCGTCTCAGGTACTCCCCCAGAGTCCGTCCTTGCCGGGTCCCGTTCCTCTAGGTACCCTCCCCCCCAGAGCACGCCTACCAGGCCTTCCCCCGTTCCCGTCTCAACGTATTCCCCGGTTCCGGTTGTCGCTCGTTGAGCCCCCATCCGTCCCTTGAGGGGGGGGGGGGTTATGTCAGGGTTTGAGTTTTTGTGTGTCTAGTTTTGGGGTTATTTTGCTGTTCTGTCCTCCCTGTCGTTAGTTTCCCTGGTGTGTCTCGTGATTACCCCTCCCTGTATTTAGTCTTGTCTCTTCCTGTGTTCAGTGTTGGTTCATTATTTGTCGTTCATGTCCCCCTTTATGTTGGTCACAGTCACCTTTGTTTGGATGCTACCTCGTACCTGTTCTTTGATTCTTGTTTTGTTTCAGCTTTTGTGAATAAAGCTCGCCTTTTGTTTCATTTTGAAACCTGCTTCCCTCTTTAATCTGCATTTGGGTCCTATTTTTCCCCAACCCTGACATTAAGTTGTCTTTAAATGTATTTTTCTTCAGTCCAATTGTCAAAGATGTTGACATTAATATGATAAGAAAACTGGGTAAAGTAGGAAATCTATAATTTGAATAAAAGCTGAATTTTCGGAAATGTTTACATGACAATACACCTTTACAATAAGAGATACTGATCCGAACATGTGTGTTCTGCCACATTTCCTGTCCTGCAGGCCTATTTGAGCAGAAACCTCTCAGATTGTCCCTGCACCGTGTGACACGAGTGCAAGATGCTGAGCGAGTGTATTTGCGTTATTCAAACACTCAAACACCCTGTATTATTCATGGGTTTCTGGAAAAACACATGGAGGTATTAACGTGGTGACAGTTCTGTTTATTATAACAAGCCCAGGGCTAGGAGAAGCACAGCAGCTTGAAAATCGAGCCACCCGTTCAATAAAACAGACAGCGCTGTCATACCTAATGTATTCACTATTTAATACAGTACAGCGTTTTGTTTTTGGGGAATATTTCCCATAACCTTTTACTGCACATTTGAGGGTACGGCTTTACATAGCTTATCTGATTCCACCCATATCTTTTTATTACTGTGTGTGATGTATGGTGTTTGTGAATAACCGAGTCTCTTTTGTACAAAGTTCTTCACAGTTTTAACCTACAGGAGGGCAGATGAGTCTGGCACACGTCTTCACTACTTCTTCGCAGCAGCAGTGCTAGCATCGAGTGCTAGCAAGTGCTAGCATCAAGTGCTTTTGATGAAACCGGAGAAAACACGATTAAATATTGATGAAGCTCAGTGCACTTTACCCCACCTGGTAACTGGAGACATTGCCCTGACCGTGAGGCTGACAGCGTCGTGGCACTGCATCTCCGACGGGCCTCAAACAGAATTCCATTTTTAACATAAATGCCTAATGGGAACATCTCAAACTGGACCGTGTTGTTTTCTTCGCAGGTTTTTATATATTCAGTTTTCACATCTCGCCCCTGTTGAGCCTCGTGTGATGACGGTTTTCAAAGAAGTTCTGAAATGTCCTCGCACAATGGCGGGACAAATTCCTTGCAGTTTCCCCGGCCTGTGTTGTAATTGGACTCACAGTGTGTCCTGTTATCTGATTATGCCTCTGAACAACAGTTCTGAACAACATGCGCAGCCAGAGGTCTGTGTATAAAAAAGAGGCAGAAAAAAGTCGCTATGGATAATCAGCAGAAGAGGAATCTAACTTTTCTCACCATTGGACTGATATTTATGCTGAGCGGCATCGAGTACGGTAGGTGGAATCTGACAGCTTTATGGATTTGAAGCATAGATTTGAAGACGTGAGATAAAAAGCTCATTAGATTAGAATCCGCCTGGCATTTTGCCTGATATTTAATAGAAATATATGTTTTTGCGGGTAAACAAAGCTTGTTGTTTACACATCTTCCCTCTGTTTCCTACTCCATCCTTCTGTGATGGTCAGCCGTCATTCTGCCGACAATATGGAGGTATCTGCAGATTTTGGAGGCCCCCCCCTACTTCCTGGGCCTGGGTCTGTCTGCCTTCAGTCTGAGCGGCCTGCTCACCGCCCCGCTTTTCGGATTGTGGTCCGACCGCAGCAAGACTACAAAGACCATCATCCTCTTCTCAAATCTATTTGAGATTGTCGGTGAGTAATAAAACACGAGACAAATCACATGATGACAGAGTCAGAATTTAGGAGCCATTGGCATGACTTTAATGGTGGAAAGTAACAAAGTACATTTACTCAAGTACTGTACTAAAGTACAATTTTAAGGCACAGGTATTTCCATTTCCTGCTACCATTGTTGAGGTCTACTAGAATAGATTTACATTTTTCAATGTTCCAAAATCACATTGGTTTTCTCATACAGAATCTCTATAGTATTTGTATTCACTCTCTGTCTTACACGCCTTGTTGGAGCTCCTGCGTGGGTGCCATGCTCGCTGCTCTGCCCTGTGGGGTTTGAGGAGCGGACAGTGTGAGGTGGATTACTGGTGTCGCTTCCTGGTTAAACACGGCGGGAAATCCACCTCACACTGTCCGCTCCGGGGGCCTTTCGGGGCGGAATCGTGAGCTCCGTAATGTCCCGCTAACATGGAACTTAGTCTATATCCAGCATCCAGGGAAACACAGCGGGAAATCCACCTCACATTGTCCGCTCCGGGGGCCTCGCGGGGCCTGAGCTGCTTAGGAGTCCGCCCTGGCAGAGGGTGTGCCTATTGTTCTATAGCTGTGTCCCAATTGGTCCAGACTTAGTGACGTCAATAGGCCCCGGAAGAAAGAAATGGAAAAAGAGAAATCTGCAACGAGGCGTTCTGGGGCAGCATAGACAGTTATTTTCTGTCTTAGAGTTTTACTCGCTACAGGGTGTACTTTGAGGGTTTGTGACTTTGCAGATCGTTTACATGCATAAACACCTTCATAACACACAAGGGGACGGTTAATAACCGGAAAAACATATGATGGGACCTTTAATTATAATAAGAGCTATTAAACAGCTAATAAACCATGATGTATTATTTATAGATTTAAAGTAGCTCCAACTAAACTTTATTTACAGTAAAATAACCGAGTGAAATGTTTTTTAGTTATTTTAGCCTTTTATGAAGTATACATTAAGGCTATATGGGTTTGTTTAGATTATTTG